GTTTGGCATATGTATTTTATCCTTTCTTCTTCTTCTTCTTCTTCTTTTTTTTTTTTTTTTCTAAAATCAAATGAAAATGTTTCAGGTAATTTTTGTTTATGCTTCTGAAGCAATAATAACATCTTTAACAGTGCTCAGGTGTGTAATATAAGTGGTAAGCTGCAATGCCTGCAGATACCTCAAATATAAAATATCTATGCGCTGCACTCTACCTATGTTTTTGTACCTTCGTTACAGCGCTGTACATAGATATTTTATATTTCTGTATCAAAAGTTTAATTTACTAAATAGGGCATTTTTACACATCATATGCTTGAACATATGACATTTTGTGTTTTTTCATTTTTATAATGACAAAGAAAGCCAGTTGACTGGAATCTATCTGGATTTGCATCATAGAAATGGAGTGGCACTCCTATCTTCCACAGACTTGATTAGTTTAGGAACATTTAATAGTTCAGCAACAATTACTCAATCCCTTCAAGTTAAACCACATAAGAATAATCTGGTAAATTGACCAAAAATATTTTTTGCAGCAGCACTGAATACCAATTAAGGTTAGGAACTATCACACTAAGTGTAACAACTCACACAAAGAATCTTCCTTTTTTTTTTCTTCTGTCAGACACTAAAGTACTGCAGTATTACTTTAACCTAGGATTACAAGTAAGTAAATCCTAAATATGGAATAAAAATGTGCATAACATAACTGCTTGGATGAGTGAATTGTAGTGCATGGTTTTTTAAAGATCAAAGAGAACACAAAATAATGTTGCTTTCTCCATTTGTATAAGTAGGTAAAAATGTAAAGAGAAAAAGCGCAGATGGACGTATCTTCACTGACAGTTATTGTATTCTGACAGCCAGTCACTGTTTGACCGACAATTTTTTGCCCAGTTTCTTTAATTTTTCTCTCAAAGGTTTATGGAGCTGGGTGGGGCCAGCAGTGCCACCTACTGTTAGAATTTTGGCTGATTCCTGTGATGGTGTATGGACAATGTATGACTAACAAATTCAAGAAAAAAAAGACACGAGTATAGCTTTCATGTTTTGAAAGCAAGGCACTAAGAAAATAAAGGTGGCCTCTTCCTGTGTAAGCTCTGACTATACACAACCTTTTCTTAGTTTTAGGAACTCAGGCAGTAGGTAGGTTTTCACTGCAGCAACTCCTAATTTTAGGTCACTTTATGCTGTTCAATTTTCTGAATTGTAGGGAGTTTTTTCTTGGATTACTGGGTTATGCAGCTACCTTCAGGTGATTTGGACACTGGCAAATCATTCAAACCTGCATAACGCCTCCTACTCCTAGCCTGCCTCAGTGTTTTATTTGTGTCCTTAAGTGATGGAACAGCTTCCATCAGTTCTCGGAGAGGTATATATATATATATATACACACAGAGGAATACAAATCCCAGCAATACATTATATACTTTATGTATAATGTATTGCTGGGATTTGTTGTATTCCTATATAGCTGGTGATATTCTGCACTGCGCTGTATAGAGGACTACAATTCCCAGCAATAATACAGTATACAGCGCAATGCCGAATACCACCAGCTATAGAGCACTACAAAACCCAGCAACAGTACATTATACAGCCCAATGCCGAATACCTCCAGCTATAGAGGAGTACAACAAATCCAAGCAATAATACAATATACAGTGCAATGCCCAATACCACCAGCTATAGAGGACTACAAAACCCAGCAACAGTACATTATACAGCGCAATAAAGAATACCGCCAGCTATACTGTACTATTGCTGGGATTTTTTGTAGTCCTCTATAGCTGGTGATATTCTGCATTCATTGCTGTATAATTTTACACTTTCCTTTTCACTATATTGCACACCACACAATTTTTTTTCTTTTTTACTTCCACCGCTCCAAGCTTGCTCCTGTGATGGAGTGCAATCTCAATACAAACTAGTAGTCGATCACTGGAGCCATTTTTTAAGATGTATTTTATTGTTTAACCGATTAATCGAACTTAATAATCGGCTAACTAATCGATTTTGAAAATCTTTAGCTGCAGCTGTACACTTTACAACCATCGCACAACGAAAGTCGTGCGATGGTTGTAAGGTGTATGGCCACCTTTTAAGCATATAGAGATTACATAAGGCGAAAGGACTCAGTCCCTCAGGACTTGGGCTTCAACAGCCATGCTGTTAAAGCCAGCGACCAAGCAGCAGGGTAGAATAGTGGTATCTGTGACAGTACCGTAGGTCTAGACAGTCTGGAAGTGTCCATGGAAAGTGACTGATTATGCTTATGACCTGCACCTACACCTCCAAAAGTAATTTCCCTACACTGTTTTGACGTAGTTCAGATGGATTAAGTTTACCTCTCTGCAAATGCTGTGATTCGGAAGTGTGACTCTGTACACCATTCTGGAGGGTCCCCGCATGGGACGACAAGCCTCCTGTTTACTATTGCTAGGTTTATTCATTGGACCGCCTCTCAGACCTATGAGCTGGTGGGAAGTTTTTCCATTTCTAATCATGGCATTCTTCACAAGAAGTGTAAAGTGCTTTGTGGGCTTTTCAGAATTTCAGGCTTTGATTTCCCAAATCTGTAAGCCACCACCTGGGCTTCAATACACACTTTTTTCCCCAAGTTCTAACTGGTGGATGTTTAGGACTCTGCGGATGCCAATTTTTGTCCGGAAGGTCTTTCAGGTGGTTGTTCCTTAAGCCAGTTAGCCATTGTTTGCTGTTTTTTTTTCTTGTCCCTCTGTTGGACTGCTTTTGATTGTTTCAGTAGTGTAATTAACTCGCTGTATCCTGTGAGGTACAATCAACAAAACAGTATTTTTGTCTTGCCTGCAAAATGGGTACTTGGAGTACATCAAAGGTCCCCTGCACTACATGACAGCCAGGAAACTAGCACTTTCCAATAGACGCTAATGGCTTCTCGTTGTCTACCTATCCCCTTGGCTACAACAACCAGATGAGGAGAGGAACAGATTTCAAGGAGGGAGCAGACACCCTGGTTATATATTGGAGGCAGTTATTAAAGTATGCTTACTGTATGAGCATAAATAAGACCAAAAATTGGTTGTTGCCCTTTCTCCTTTCTTGATCATCCCCCATGCTTGTGTAATACTGTCCTGCTTACTAGTTTCTAGCTCTTGCCTTTCTCTTCACATGTGTCGCTCGGGTCTTCCTCTTAAATGGTTGTGCTTGCTGCCTGAAATACCAGTTACCTTGGCCAAGAACTGTCATTGGAGAAAGTTTTTGTTTTTGCATAGGCTTTGTGTGGAGATGTAGAAAGGGACTTGGATGGCATTGACCACGTAGCAAGAAGCTTCTGAATCAATGTATTACTTTGTTTGCATAGAACATAGTGTGTGTATGTGTGATAAAACTAATCGTGGGCTTTCAGATACCACACTACTTGCTCACTTTTTGTTCCTAGTGTTATCATCAGAGCTTTTGGAATTCCATGGTCTATGTGCAGCCTGTCCCACCTCCACCACATGTTGAGTCATATCAGAGCTTTCCGGAACCTGTTCCTATGGTTGACCAATCTGTGTTAACAGTCTGCAATGAAAACCGTCCACAGACACTGGAAACGGGTGGTATGTACAATTTTCAAGAACTCTTATTGTTAATGCACAGATACCGTTTTTTGGTATAGAGTAAATGTACCGATTTTTTTAATCTTATTTTTTAATTTTTTTCCTGATACCGGAAGTTCCATTAAGGAAGCTTAGCGACATGTAATGACTCGCCACCCAGCTTCCTGTTTAGCTGGGAAGCTGCCTGCATGCTCCCTCGTCGCCAGGTGACAAGGGAGCATGGAGCCAGCTTCCTGGCCAATCAGGAAGCCGGGGGTGTGCAATGACTTGCTGTCTGCCTTCCTATTACCAGAAGTTGCAGTATCTGGATAATTATCGGGAGCATGTGGGCAGGTAGGAGTACTCTCCTAAATACTCCAGTATCGGCACCGATACCAGTATCGGTGCATCCCTAATTATGAATATTATTATTTGTTGGAGTTATGAAGTCTGAGACCTTCTAAGGGCCTAATAGGCCATAGCATCGTGTTAGACTTTGTGCAGCTACTGAGCTTGTTTGCTAAAATTTATAGCTATACATTTACAATGGTAAATAAATATACAATTACTTTTTATGTTATGCTTTTATTAACTTGAGTTACTGAAGTGAGGATTTTAATAGGTCATAAGCCCGATGCCAGTCGGGTACATGATGATTAAAAAAAAATAAAATAATAATTCATGCAGGATTAAGAATGAAAGTAAACATATGGTTGCAGCAAATTCAAACCAGCTTCTATTTGGAAATTTGCCTTAATTTGTACTCTATACGAGCATCTAGAAAATTAATTCCAGGAAAGCCAATACTATAGCGCCTCTTGAAAAAAAAAAGATAGGTAGTGGTAGAATCAATTCTAGTCAGAATTTTTTTTACTTTGATCTGTTTTAGAATTTCTTTAATTTGAATTTTCATGGGCATCAAAAAAATAACCCTAGTTTTGGCCTGTTCACCCCACGGAAATGGCTTGCACATTTAGCAACTTATAGGAACCAGTCAGATTTCAATCTTTTGTAGCCAGGTCAGTGAAAGGTGACGTTTGTAGTTGACTGCTATTGTTTACTGCTTTATGAAGTGTGATGAGGCTCTATAGACAAACTATAAAGGCCTCCTTGTCTCTAGTTTTACTTTCAAATCAACTGCTCTAGTGAGTGTGGTTTTATAGAAAATGTATAGAGACCCCCCCCAAGCTATATATACATGTTATCTAACTGTTATTGCTACTTGCATAAATCCTGTGTAGACAGATAGCTCATACCTCCATAGCAGAGGCATGGGATGCTATAGTTACTCCCTTACTGCTTTCTTTCTTGTATAATAAACTTGGCTGTATCGCTTATCCTGCACGTAGAAATACATCTATTTGTATCTTTCAGGACCATTTGCTAATGTGGATTCACTGCCTCAGCCACCAGTATATTACCCTTTTGTACCTGATCCATATAGCCAGCCTCCTTTACCTGGCTTTGACTCGTGTATGCCCTTTGTGCCTACATATCACTATGTAGGACCATGGCATCCTATAAGTCCACCTTATAGCAGTTCCCCTCGGATACATAATGCGGTAAACCCTGGTCATATTCACCAAGTAAGCTACATGGCTGCACCAACTCCACCTGCCCACTTTGTTCCTCAGACCATATGAGAGAAAGATGGATACGACATTGGTATGTATGGAGTTTGATTTTGCACTTTACAGACCGCTCTAATTCCAAATACATTGTATTGACCTATTGAGAAGTTCTTTTTCTATTTTAGAGATTAATATGAACATTTGTTCTATTTTTGAGGGAATACATAGTGTTTGAATATATTTTCTTTTGATGTGCTCAAGACTTCATATTTTTCAAAAATATTTAACATTTTTTTTTTTTAGTAAAAGCTGAATGCATCTTTATTATATTGCATATTAAAATGTTTAGCCATCAGGAAGAGCTTTAGGCTGCTTCTCATGTTTTGCAGGGCTAACCTAAATTGTTTCGCTGAAAAAACTGTTTACAACGCTCAAGCCAAAATTATACACAACTCAGTGAATCAGAGGAAATCAGTCCTTACCTGCTCTGTACAGCAGACTTTCAAGTAAAGAGGGACAATCTTGAATGCAAACAGTTTCTGCTGTTTTTTAGAAAACCCATAATTGTTTGACCAGTTTGTTGCTGCACCCTGCATTAAATGAGAACTATGAGGTGAGCGATTTACACTCATCCTCATAGTTAAAGCGATTGTGTGACAATTAAATTGTCATACATCGACTCTCGATTGGGAAGTGAGCGAACACTTACCATTGCTCGCTCACTTCCCGATCATCTCCCCACAGATATTCCCCCCTCCCATTTCCGATCCTCTAGATAGGCAGAGCCCGCTGTCAATCAGCCAGCTGGGTGGATCTTGACAGTATTCTCGGGATCGGGGGCGCTCTCGATATATAGCGGACTATACCCTGCTATATACTGAGCTTAGTATATGTCCTCTTGTGACCTTAAAGAGAACTATGGGATAAAAAGGTTATATTCTTTAATATTTACTTGTAAACTGAAGAATTTAATGTCTAAAAACATATAACAATACAAATATATAAAATTGACCAAACCCGAATCCTTTTTAAAAGTAGAGCTAGCACTAACTTTTACAATTTGTATTGATACATCCGCCCGGTTATTTATGCCACAATCTTCAGCCAACCCTTTTGAAAATGCCATCTACATGTATCTCAGTGGTGAAGGGCTTTTCCATAGGAAATAGAAATTGCTTAGTGGAAGAGGAAGATAGGATACTGTTCCCAGCAGGCAACACAGTTTAGATCTCAGAGCAAATGGAAGAGTTTGTCCTGAGGGGGATTCTTTAAAGGATAACTGTACTGTAAGTATGGCTAACCTTTAAAACTTTGAACTGGTCCGGTTTTTATACATCTCCTAGCTGGCCACCTAAATCCCAGGGTGCACTGTTATGCAAATATCAAAACGCTTTCCTGGTAGAGAGCTTCCACTTCAATACTGACTGAGGCAGCCTATCACAGCAGTAAGCCAATAATGAGTCATGTGAATGAGCAGCGATAGGGTCTCAGTCGAGACTGCTGGTCAATATTTGTATTAAAGAAGCACTTCAGGTTTCATTGGACCTGAGAGGGTTACGTTAGTTGGCATACGGGATAGCTTGTGTTAAATGTCACCAAATATAGCTTTTTTTTTTTTTTTATTTGCATTTAAAGAGCCTTCACCCACTCTTGAATTTCAAGGAGATGTCTGACAGGGCAGGTGAAACATCAATGTGATTACCTTTTTTAGCTTTCTGAATTAATTATCTCAGGAACAAAAGGCATCTACACAAATTACTCCATTATATTCTTACCTTAAGGTTGCATAATAAATGTTGCATTGTTGTACCTTCAATTTGACGAGTAAATAGTTATTCTGATTACAGAGTACAGTCTGTTTCATTCTTGTTAAAAAATTTTTGTTTCTTGCAGGTTCTGAATATTTCTGGTTTCTAAACCTGGCTGACTCTTCTGAAGACCAAAAAATGGTTGTCACATACACTTTAACTTTTGGACTAAACTGGTGTGAAGGGCTGGATTTAGAATTGATGCCACCTCCATTTGTACTCTAAAGAACAAAATCAAAGTTCTTAGTTTGATAGCTTTTTTTTTTTTTTTTGGTTTTCCTTTAACCATCACCATTAAGATTCCAAACCTGCTGCCTAAGAATCTCCTGCATCTGCTGATGGCTCTGTAGATCCTGTGCTCTAACGGACATGCAAACTCAGAATTTCAGCACCCCCAAAAAATTTTATCGGACATGGCACAGTGTTCACCTGTTGATACATTACAGCATTACTTCTGTGTGCAAATTATTGTGCAGAATACCAAAAGCAATGTTGGATCCAATTTCTAAACGCAATACTGTAATTTGCACTTTTTCTTTTACCCATAAGCAACTGTTGTCCTTTTTGTGTTGCTCTTCTTTTGAGTGGGTTTTTGTTGTTATTTCTGTTTTTGTTATGGGTGTTATTTATGTAATTAGTATTATCACATTTGCACAAAAGGTGATTTATAATTGGTGTTTCACTAGCATGATAAATAAATAAGAAAGCATAAAAAAACCTTGACACAGAATGTTTCTTTATTTGGCATGGTCTCCTTTTAAATTAAGGCTTGCTGAAAGAAATATATATTTGACCACAAATTCAGTCAAAACCTTGAAAAAGAATGTATTCTTTCATCTAAGTCGTGATAGAGATGTACAGTGTGTGCGTGTGTGTATATACAGTACTGTGCAAAAATTTTAGGCAGGTGTGAAATGCTTTCAAAAATATATATTTTTATTTGTATCAATTTACAAAATGCAAAGTGAGTGAACAGAAGAAAAACCAAATCAATGTTTGGGGTGACTACAGTTTGGCTTCAAACCGGCATCAATTCTTACACTTGCACAAAGTCAGGGACTTTGTAGGATTGGTCAAGTGAATAATCCATTATACGCAGCAGGTGCTAATCATCAATTTTCATATGTAGATTGAAACACAGTTATTAACTGAAACAGCTGTGTAGGAGGCTTAAAACTGTGAGGAACAGCCACACTCTGCTACTAAGGTGAGGTTGTGGAAGACAGTTTCATGTGACAGGTCAAACACCATGGCAAGACTGAGCACAGATACAAATGCAACTAGTAAAAGTCAGTGACTTTTACTAGTTGCATTTGTTGCTGTGATTTGCAGAGGCATCTGCAGTCGCTCCACTCACTTTTTTTGCGGTCAGGAGTGCGATGGGATCTATGTATTAAGCACAGCAGCAAGACACAAGGTAGTTATACTGCATCAGCATGATTTTCAAAGCAGAATGGGGTTTCAAGATGTGCTTTTCAAGCTCTTTTGAAGAAGCACGAAGAATTGGGCCATGTCGAGGACGGTAAACGCAGTGGTCAGCCAGGGAAACATAATGCAGCAGATGAATGACTCATCATGCTTCCCTTCGACATTGGAAGATGTACAGCAGGAAACCAATGGGACCCAGGTACACCCATCTACTGTGTGGAGAAGTCTGGCCAGAAGTGATCTTCATGGAAAAATTGTGGCCAAAAAGCCCATGCCTCCAACGTGGAAACAAAGCTATGCACGAAAACATTGGAACTGGGGAGCAGAAAAAATGTCAGCAGGTGCTCTGGACTGATGAGTCAAAATTTGAAATATTTGGCTGTAGCAGGAGGCAGTTTGTTAACCGAAGGGCTGAAGAGCGGTACGAGTGTCTGCAGCAACAGTGAAGCATGGTGGAGGGTCTTTGCAAGTCTGTGGCTGCCTTTCTGCCAGTGGAGTTGGAGATTTGGTCAGGATCAATGGTGTCCTCAATGCTGAAAAATAAAAACAGATACTTATCCATCATGCCATACCATAAGGGAGGATTGTGATTGGCCCCAAATGTATTCTGCAGCAGGACAACGAACCCAAATATACTGCCATTGTCATTAAGAACCATCTTCAGCGTAAAGAACAAGGAGTCCTGGAAGTGATGGTTTGGCCCCCTACAGAGCCCTAATCTCAACATAATAAAGTCTGTCTAGGATTATGAACTTTAATGGTCTGGTATGAACTTTAGCTACCTCCTATGAGAAAACAAGAGAAGGGCGCCCACCCTAGTGCAGATTGTTTTTAATAATAAAAAGTAGCAAAACGGAGTAGAATCATACTCACAATGGTGGATCAAATAAGAGCATTCAACAAAAGTGTGGAGGACATCAGTGAGAAGCTGCACAGTCAGACTGTGTGCCAGCACAGAATGCCTGCGTTAACGCGTTTCCGGGGTCACGCCCCCTTCGTCAGAACGTCTACTTGCTACTTTTTATTAAAAACAATCTGCAATAGGGTGGGCGCCCTTCTCTTTTGTTTTCTCAGTGTTACAGTTCCCCTGGCTAAAGTGGGGGCAGCGCCGCTAGTAATCCTTCACATGCACTTTTCGGTTGATGTTCCTACTTGGCACTTTTGATTTGTCTATTCGGCTTTAGCTACCTCTGCTCTAGGGCCAAATTCCAAATCGCTAAACTGCGGCCCTTCAGCTGTGGTGAAAACCCCAAATCCCCTCATGCATCTGTTCAAGGTTTTATGCCTGTGGCTGTCAGTCTTGCAATGCGTTATGGTACTTGTAGTTCCTCAGCAACATTTAAGCTTGCATTGTGAAAGGGGGCAGTGAAGTACAACCATTGAGTAGTGCTGCAAAGCAAACATAGCAAATGTGGCTGTCCCATATATGTATATAGCTACAAACTACGGTACTACACATAAACAAGGTACTGTACTACTGATAGAATTTCTTTACATTTTATGTTTGATAATCTTTTGTCATGAGAGAAGTCCATGAGCTTCCATTGTGGTTTTCCTACTAAAGGTTCTGTCTCTGATTTTCAATATTTTGAGTCCCTTTGCCAGAATAAGTATGCAGTTCAGATGTTCTGACCTGACTATGACTTAACATGGAGCTTGTATAGATAAATTTGAGAATTTACTGCCACCTAAATCTTCCAATCAGTCACTAGGATGCATGCTAAAGCTTTACGAAGGATGTACAGAGTTTTAATTGATCAAGCAATTTACCAACAGAATTGGGCACATCTCTAGTACCTGCAGACTCTAATTTTGGAAAGAATTTAGGGATTGTTC